CCCTTGGTACAATCACTATCCTGAGAACATAATACGTTGGTATCCAGCTTACATCATGTATCTTGTAAATTGCACGACAAAGATGAACTCTTCGGTTTATGTTGATGCTTCTCGTTGCCGAACAAATAGCTCTTCATCTCCATAGACCTACTTCTACTTTTCGGGCTCCAATTCAAAAATATCTGATTTTCATGAGTCGTGCAGATTTGTAGCCCAGCTCCCATTCATGATGTCCAATATTAGTGGCTTATCCACTTTTGATATTTACATAAACCTGTTGACAGGCGCCGACGTGTCATGTAACATTCCCCACATATTTTGGCCTTCAAACCCGATTCTCAAAGTGTAATAGTTATCTACGATTCGTTCTTTAGATTCTTTCATATATTTTTCACGGTCTTATTAATGGGTTCGTTTCTTTTTTTGGTATTCTGGACTGCTACTGTTGGCGGAAATTCTGCTATCTTCGGCTTATGCATATATACAGAACAATCTGGCCTTTGTTCTTCCGGGAACCTTCGACCATATCTTTGGAAAAGGTTAATCTTTCAGATTTGATCATGTATTTTATTTTAATGGTTTTGCTTTTGCTTTAGGCTCTGTATTCAAGTATGTAATTCTTCCTGTCCCAACTTTTGACTATGTTTATATAGTTCAACGATAAAGATTTGTGTTGAACTGAAGTACAAATTTTAATTGAAATATTTCAAGTTTCAACTTAATTATGAATGCTCATGTATTCTTCTGTATGTGATTTTCTTGGGGAAACAGGCATACTATTAGCAACAACTTTGCTGGGAATATTTTGTTTGATTGCACTTGTTACACACACACGTGTAGGAGAAGACATTTATCAATGGATGACACTATTGAAAACTTTCTTCAAAGTCAAAACAATTTCATGCCTATCCGATATTCTTACCGTGAAATAAAAAGAATGTCAGAAGGTTTCAAAGTTAAGTTAGGCCAAGGAGGGTTCGGTTCTGTGTTCAAAGGAAAGCTTCGTAGTGGTCGGTTGGTGGCAGTAAAAATGCTTGGCAAATCCAAAGCAAATGGAGAAGATTTCGTCAGTGAAGTGGCCACAATCGGAAGGATTCATCACATGAACGTAGTCCAACTCATTGGATTCTGTGTGGAGGGATCGAAACGAGCACTTGCATATGATTTCATGGTGAACGGATCTTTAGACAAAATCATATTTTCAAAGGAAACTTGCAGTTTAAGTTCGCCAAAACTGTTGGAGATTGCACTCGGTGTGGCTCGAGGGATCGACTACTTGCACAAAGGATGTCAAATGCGGATTCTACATTTCGACATCAAACGGCACAACATTCTTCTGGATGAAAACTTTGTCCCCAGAGTATCTGATTTCGGTCTTGCGAAATTATATTCGGTGGATGACAGTATCATCTCTCTCACAGCTGCTCGTGGTACAGTAGGATACTTTGCTTCTGAATTGTTCTACAAAAACATTGGACGCATCTCATGTAAAGCTGATGTTTATAGTTTCGGGATGTTTATAGTTTCGGGATGTTATTAATGGAAATGGTGGGAAGAAGAAAGAATCTGAATATATCAGTTAAGCATTTGAGTCAAATTTATTTTCCATCATGTATATATGATCGATTTGATCAAGGGGAGAGCATGGGGTTAGGAGATGTGACTTAAGTTGATGAACAGATTGCGAGGAAAATGATATTGGCTGCATTTTGGAGCATACAAATGAAGCCCACTAATCGTCCATCGCCAAAAATAACATAAAATGGTCATTCCACCACCATTAATGTTCAAGTCATATATACATAATCTATACATGAGTTTAAAAGGATTCTATGACATGTCACACGTATACGATACTCGATTAATGTTCAAGGGTAGCTAGAAATCACACATAAACTTACTTTCATAATGATTCACATGTGATATCATGTTCATGTATCATAACTTTCATAACATATTGAGCCTTAAGCTTCATAATTAGTCCGGATTAAACATTGAATACCTTGAACATACTTGACATATAAAGATCCTTAACTTGTTTTCATCATATGCATTTTATAATAACGGACATACATACCAAAGCAAATCACATTTGATTCATGGAATTCTTATTTCATAACTAAACTTACCAGAAACTTAGTCGGAGATCAATATTTATAGGGAATGATGTAAGATTTTATGTTCGAGAGGTGAATTTATAAAATTTTGATAGGGATGAAAATAAATTATTAATAGAAAATACAAAAAATATTCTAAAATATACGAGAGAAGAGTGGACGGCAGTGATTCCTATCATTCTTGATCGGTTCCATATCAACTAAATCTCGAGTCAACCAATCCTATCATTTTCTTACAGTCATGCTCAGAACCAGGACTCAAAGGGAGACAGAAGACCGAGTCATCCGGAAATTCGGTTGAATTTGAGCCAGGTTTGTCAGAAGGGAGTAATGAAGGAATGAATTATGTGGGTCGCTAATGGGTGCTCTTCCATTGCTACTGGCAAACTGTATGTAAAGCCCGACCCACTTTTTGTCATAGGTGGTGTCTAAGGGCACTTTGATTGATTGTGCCAGCATTTGTCCTTAATAATTCTGAAATTCATTACACGATTTTCTCTAAAGATTTCATATTCGAATAATCATGTCTGCATAATACGAGTGCATTGTCAATAAATAAATAAAAATTCTGAACAAGTATCACCTTACAATCGTTCAGAACAATTAAAAGAAACTCATAGCATCTGCTTTCATAGCTTAGTTGGTTTGAGCACCTTAGTAAGGGGGAGGTCTTGAGTTTGACTCTTACGTATACCATTGGACAATGCCTTTTATATGGCGACTTTCTCTAGGCTTTGCAGCTAGAAATGGAAACGTTTCTTATTTGATGCTTTCAAGGGATTCGAACTACACCTCGTAACTTCAACAATGTATGGATTCACTGTTTTTTCATGGTTAATCGTCCTACACCCTTTTGTCGATGCCTTTTACCTGGTAACTTTCTTTATGTACTGCAAAATGTTTCTTATTTGACGCTTTCATCGGCTTCCAACTGCACCTCGCATCTTTTTTAACAGCGCATGGATTGAAAAAAGATCGAGGTCGACACACCAGATAAAGCAGATGGGGTGTTTGTTCAGGCCTTGAACTTGAGCATGATTCGGCACTTAATTCCATAGCCTTTTCACCAATTTCAAAGTTATCATGAAACCAAAAATTCACGTTAAAGCCTGAAGTTACACGGCTCAGAGAAATATATGAAGCCAAGACAATTGTCTTTGCACTCATCACATGTAATAAGCCGACCAATCCCAGGGCGATATGAAGCTTAGAGGTTAAGAGGATGGCTAGAATGAAAAAGGTTGTTGTATCTCGTATGGCAATTTAGCACATTTTTCATGTGGGTAAAACTCATGACATGTTTTACAGATGTAGCTATAGGACCATTAAATACCAGCCGACAACCGTAGCAAAATGTGTGCTTCAGTACTTGTTATCATTTGCTTTGCCATGCTAGTCCACTTAATCCTCAAGGAGTTTATCTTTTGATATGCAAGCATGGCTTTTCATGAACAAATCCATTTTGACCCGCGGTGTGAGCCGGTGACACCGACATGTACATAGTCAACATTTTCCTTGGCCAGCTGAAGAATGTGGGGGAGAAGATGTCCCAACATCTGTATAGAGCTTATGATGGATTCTTTTCCCTTGAAGCTAAGAGCTGTATTGTTTTGATTTGAGAGAGGAAAATGAACTGTTTTAGGGTCTTTTGGGAGTTTTCCAGCTAGTTCCCCATATGAGGAGTTGATTTACTTGTATCAAATTCTAATGATTTCACTAAGAAGATTACATAAATCCACTTTGTTATATAAGAATATCTATAGTTCCCCTTATATTTGATATCATAAGGTTGGCAATAGAGTTTAGGTATTGGAGGTTGGGAACTTGGGAACAATTATAACTGTCATTTAGTTTTATGAAAACTATAGAATTGTTAAGAAAATTAGGACATATGCTTTCGTAGCTCAGTTGGTTAGAGAACCACTTCAGTAAGCGGGAGGTTCGAGTTCAACTCTCAACGAAAGCAATCAGTTCATTGTCATCTCCATCCTCTAGCACCGCATTTGTGCCGAACCTTGATCAACATCAATGATTCACATCTCAAAAGAAATACATCTGCATTAAGTTGAACAACTTCTCAATACATATTAAACCTACAAGGGTCTGGTTATATACCCGCATCATCACTAATGTTTATTTATATCATTTTTCCTGTTTATCTTCTTCATTCCTCTCAAATACTTTGGATTTACGATTTAATTAATCGATGTACGAGCCAAACGATCTCGGTAGTAAAAAAATTGTTATTATTCCTTGTGACACAAGGAAATACTACTATAAAAATCTTGCTAATAATAATATGATCACTTTTAATATTAATAAAGAATAATGATGTGGTTCAAGGAAATACTACCATAAAAATACACATTAAATATCAACAGAAATCTAAAGAAATGCTACTATAACAAAAATACACGAATTCAAAATCTAAAATGTAACCTATCCTATTAGAATTTAAAAGTACTAAAATTCAAGTGAAATAAATATCAAGCTCTTCTCACAAATGCATATAATACAAGCAGTTAAAATTCAAAAATTTGAGTTTATAAAACTAAATTCAAATTTGCTATCGTCATTCTTAATGATCAATCTGTAAATTCCTATATAAATTTTAATTAAATCTTATGAATACCTTAATCCTAAAATGAGAGAACTATCCGGACTTTAATTTTTTATCATAAAAAAATGGATAAATTTCTAACGGCACTTGAACTCTAAAAAATATAAATTAAAATAATTAGTTATAATTTTCTCGATTGAAATTAAATTTAGCGTCAATGAATTATCTAAATTAGAACTTTAAAAAGAAATTAAAAAAAAAGTTCATTAACCATAAAAGATAACGAATTTTCACAATGTTTACCAACAGCTAAGCAACTTTTTCCCCATAAAATGAAAGAATTAACCCTAAAATTAAGTTTGCCACGCGTCAACAGCGAGAACTGTTTCTTTTAGCCTCATTGCCATTAGATGCCGTGACACGTGTTCTCTTCCTCACCGTTGGATCGGCGTTCTTGTCATCTCCGCCGACCATTTCCGCTAACATCCTTTGCAAATCCTCAAAACTATCCCCCTACGGTTTTCCAAAAATGCCATCCCAAAATATCTAGGTCAGTTCATTAGAATCATAATTACAAATATAACCTTGTTAAAGTAGTAAACCAAGGGCTAACCTCGTCTTTCACATTATTCATCATTGATACCATCTCCTGCATAAAGTCACATAAGTCCTGCTCCGCAAATTTAACAAAGTTTAGGGACGAAAATTGAAAATGAAACAGTAAAAAAGTTCTAAATACGGAACTAATAAAAAAGTTCAAAATAATTGATATTTTTCCAAGCCAATCGTTTCACCGATCACAAGGTATAAACCGAGACCTTTCTATATGCACAGAGGAAGATATTTTTTTACGCACTTGGTCTTCTTCTTCGAAGGGATCGTAGAGGCCGGCGTCGTACATTGACCGCTTGCTCTGGTCGGAGAGAACTGTGAGAAATTAACGGCTGATCAAATGAGTGAAACGATCATATACAATTCAAAGGTGATTTGATTGTTGTTACCGGAATAAGCTTCTTGGATTTGTTGAAACCGGCGTTTGTATTCGCCGGCGACACCAGGGTTTGTGGCGTATCTGTCCGGATGCCATTTCTTCCAAAAAGGAGAACGTGATGAAAAAATTAAATTTGATTCTCAAATTAAAGCAAACAAAGAGGGGAAGAGTTTGATATCACCATAGCCAGCTTCCGATAGGCAGTACGGATATCGGAGAAAGAGGCGTCCTTACGAATTCCAAGAACGGAGTAATAACAAGATCCACCGTGATATCCTCCTTCCCGATCCATCTCAGCCGTCCAAAACACCTCCCTTCCTCTCTGTGGCCTCTTTAAAAAAACAAAAACTACAAAAAAAAAAACTCACAGCCTTCTTGATTTAGCAACGACGAACAAACGGCAAGAACAAAAATTAAAAATCAAATGTGATTTGAAACACTAGCTTTTCTTCTTCGGCGCTGACTTCTTTAGGGTTCCCGAGGGAGAAAATATCTCGGGGTTGAAAATTCCAAACGAAGGGAAAATATAAAGCAAAAGAAACATCGAGAGAAGTTGGCCCGATAGAATATAAAAGTCACAAATGTCGAGCTAGATATTTTCTTTGCGAGTTTTCTAAATGCCACTGGATTTCGTATAAAATAACGAGATTTGCCATGAGATGCCCTTCTTGCAATATCCACTTGGCGCTGACACGTACTTTTTTGTTTGGTTTTACAATTTTGGATATAATAATCTTTCTAAATAATTAATTAATTAATATTTTTCCATTTCTCGACAAATTGTTGGATTATTTCCATTTATGTACAAAACGTTAGTTTTATTATATTATTTTGTTAAGTAATTGAAATTGTTTGATTTGTACTTTCAACTATGATTTAATATTGGATACATTTTATAAATTTTATTTCAAATTCATCGTTTATTATTCTAGCTTTTGACGTATAATCCATGGTATCTTTTTCCCCATCATTGTTTCTATAATTAATTATTAATTTATATTTAATTACTATTTAACAAAATAACGTCTTTTTACTTATCTTTAACTAAAAGGTATGATTGATTAAAATTGTCTATGTCCTGCATTGCATAAAAGGTTAAATATAAATATTATTTTATTAAATTCGGAGAAAGATGCTTCTTATTATACATGTCTTTCATATATCTTTCACACCATGGTGACGCTTCACATCAATGAGATCGAAATTCAATCACACAACGCAGCTCCACATCCCTAAAGATTAAGGGTAAATTACATGTTTAGTATTTAAACTGTTATTTTTGTTCCATTTTGGCAACTAAATTATATTTTTTTTAAATATATCTAACGTTTAATTTAAGTTTTATTTTGATACTCTTATCGTTAAAACCTTAACAATGATGTTAAGGTGTTATCATAAGATAATATCATTTCATCACTGAGAAAAATAAAAATATTACGTCAATAGTTTTTTAAAATTTTTAAATTATAAATATAAAATTGAAACATAAACTAAATATTAAAATTGAAACCTAAACCTAAACTAAATATTAACTATAAAAAGAATAAAAATTGAATTCAGTTTGAAATCTTCAATGGGGTATTGCATTCGGTTAGAAATCTATCAAGTGTTAACTGGACTTTCTAGTTAAAGGGTTGGACTAATTGTTTGGATTGGGCTGATGAGATCTAAGTTTTTATATATGTAAACTAAAAATATAAGGGTGAGTTTAGTTCACGGAATGTAAGATTATCAATGGAAATGTAAGATTATCAGGGAATAAGATTACTGAGAATGTTGTATTTTGTGTTTGGTTGGCTTAGCAGAAATGTAAGATTATCGTATTTGGTTAAAGAAATAAAAGATTATTGGAATATATATTTGACCAAATTGTCCTTATTATATATTTATTTTTTTAACAAGTTAAAAAATATTTATATATTTTCTTTAAAAAATTTGAATTCATAAAATTTATATAATTTTTTTTACAAAATTAAAAATATAAAAAGGTTTAATGAAAGGATAAAATTTTATTTTAACCATGAACTTCATATAAAATTTTAATTATAGAATTTTTTTATAAATCTAATATAGTTTAAAGATAAATTTGTAATTTAACCTTTGTAGAATTTTTATTATTCAATGACAAGAAAGATATTTTTAAAAGAAAAAAAAATTAAGAACATTTTAGTCCAAAACATCGGTAATCAAACAATACCTAATGAAAGGAAGGTAATAACATTCTCAATAATATACCCCAAAAAATTCGCTATTGATAATCTTATATTATCGAGAATGAAATTCTCAGACTAACCAAACGAGAGAATATGAATTTCATACATTCCCCATCCAAACATCCGTAATGGTCTATGAGTTTTAGATTCGATTTCAATGAAATTTGAGCTGTTTTAACTTTGTTTACTTAACTTTCTCAAATTTTTATATATTTCGTATAACGTTTATATATATTTGTTTATTACGTTAAATAAATGAGTTCAAACAATTTTTTTATATTTAATTAATAAAAGAAAAAATATCATTTATATTCCTAAACAATTTCGTTTATGAGTTCATTTAGAATATAAACAATTTCGTTTATGAGTTCATTTATCGATTTATTTGTTTATATTCATTTAAAAGAAAACAACCCCCGAAACACAAAATATAAAGTTGTACAACTGAAGCAAGAAATAAGTGAAATTAAGACATAAAACAAAAGTAATAATGTGTCCCAAAATCATTTGATTCCACATGCAGAAGATGAGCATTTAGGCTTCTTCACAATCAAAACAGGGCACTTCACATTTTGCGCACAATGATTGCTCACACTCCCCAGAAAAGCCCTGTCATCAAACATTCGCCAAAAGAGTCACTCAAAACCCATAAATTGCAGGGACAAAAACCATAAATTTACCAAATTTAACAAGGACGAAACCATAATTCAAACAATGTGGATAAGGACTACTTCCCACCTCTTGATGAGGCTGTAGCCATGTGTTCCCATAACAAGCACATCAGCATTTATCTTGTCAGCAACTTGGCAAATCACGTCCCTTGGATCACCGCTCTCTATCTTCACCTCTACCTTCACCTAATTACCCAAAGGCCATTCAACTCTCAAAAATTACCATTTTGATTCCTGAAAGAAGTTTTTTATTCTATTTTGGAAATACCAGAAACTCACCTCATGATCAGCTTGATCTCTGCATATCCTTTTGGCCTTCTCGATGATACAAGTCGCCACATCATCGCTGTATTTGTCCATGGTGGCCAGTATATCAGCAGAAAACAAATACCCTGAAACGAAAACCACAGCAAAATTTATGAACTGATATCAGAAACCCTGAACCGAACATTCAAGAGAGAAAAAATACCAGTGCCATCTAGGGAAGAGTACACCGCTCGCTGTGGTTTAGCGTAAAGGAGGATAAGAGTATCTTTTGAACTCTGAGGTACCAAGTTCTTGAGGCACCATGAGAGAGCGTACATGCTCTCTCCGCCTTCATCTACAGCCACCAGGATCTTCCGGTCCTTTGCCACAACTTGACCATCATCCGCCATAGAATCAACCCGAGTTTTTCTGGAAATTGAACAGTTGATGAAAGGAAAAACTTTTGAACGAAGTTGAAATTTTGATGGTGATTGGTGAGTTGTGGAGAATGTGCAGTGGATTTTTATAGAAGGCGAGAGTGTTCGTGAGGGGAAAATCTGTGGATTTTGGCTGGTTTTGGGTCGTTGGATTTGCTGGTTTTGAAAGTCAGTGGCACAGTTTTTTGCCTTGGTTTGACTCGAATCACTGTATATACCTTATGTATATCTTGGTCTTGTCTATAATTTTCCTTTTGATTACCTCAACATGTTACATGCTGAGAGGAACACGTGTTAGTACACCTAAGATTCGTCATTTCATTCCAAATCCAAATCAATATACATATCCACATATTAATTTTAGGGTAAACTACAGCTTTAGTATTTCAACTATTATTTTTATTTTGTATTGTTCATCTAATTATTGTTTATTCTAAAATCATATCTAATGTTATATTTGGTTTCATTCTAGTAACTCATCGCTAAAAAATTAACAGTGACACCGACGTGTCACCATAAGATAATGCATTGAATTTTTTAACAATATCATGTTAACATTTATGTTAATTTTTTAACAGCTGGTGAACAAAATGAAATTAAAATGTAACATTATGTATGATTTTTAAACAAAAAATAATTGGATGACCAAAACATGACAAAAGTGATAATTGTGATATTAAATGTGTAATTTATCGTTAATATGAAGATAGGTCTATCAATTTTATACGAGTTCAAAAAATTGATCGGATTGAATCAAAAGAGTAGTCAGTATAAGAAATTGGTCTAATTAAGGATTAATCCAAGCTAAAATTAACCTAAATTAGTGACACATGTCGTGACAATTGTTGCTAATGACACATATCTTCATCTTATTCATAGATTAAATTTATTAAATTAAATTTATAACTAAATTGATATAATGTGCACGTGATGAGAATCAAATGTGTACATATACTAATTTTTTAATTGTCGCAACAACTCATCCATCAAATGTTAATGATAGTTAACTTGATCCGATTGATGAAATTTAAAGATTGATAGTCAGATTAGAATACTCTCATAGTTAAGTGACCATCCATGTAATTTATCCTAATTTTTTATATTATTTATTTATACCATATGTAGTTTGTTTGATGAGCAAAGTTCTATACATTTAAATTCATAAGTCGTCTAATATTTAAAGAGAATGTTAGAATTCAAATTTAAATACCAACATATGTCGGATATGTGTATATATCGTTAATAAATTTATTTATTTTAAACATATGTTATTTAATAATCATTCTGTACATTAAGAAATGATGATTAAGATATAATCAAATAATAATATTTTTATATGAATCGGATTTTAAATACAAATCATTGTACACACATTATTGTCAATGTACTTCTATTTTAAAAGTACATATATGTAGGGTTGTTCATTCGGTTAATTCGGTGGTCGAATCGACCGAACTACCATTAACCGAATTTTTTGAACTTTTTTTTCTTTAACCGTTAGTCGAACCGAACTTTTTTTCGAAAATATTAATCGAACCGAATAAATTTCGATTAATTCGGTTAATTTTCGAATTAACCGAAAATTTTTAAAATTTTATAATTTATATAAAAATTAAATATTTTATAATTCAAAAAAACAGTTTATAATTAATTTAAATAATATATAATTATAAAATAAAAATTTTATATAAAATTTTAATTAATTAATATTGATTTAGGGTTAAAAGTTATTAAATCTTAAATTATTAATTAAGTTTTAAATGGTTTGGACTGAGTCCATATGTTATATATAATATATATAATATTTTTTAATTCAAAAAACAGTTTACAATTAATTTAAATAATATATAATTATAAAATAAAAATTTTATATAAATTTTTTAATTAATTAATATCGATTTAGGTTTAAAAGTTATTGTATATTAAATTATTAATTGAGTTTTAAATGGTTTGGGCTGAGCCCATATGTTATATATAATATATTTAATATTTAAAATTTTATTTCGGTTAATTAACCGATTTCGAACCGAATTAACCGTTAACTGAATATCCAAAAAACCTTAACCGTTCCCCGATCGAATTAATTTGATTCGATCGGTTAATTCGGTTAAAACTGAATTTTGAACACCCTTACATACATGGATGAAGAGAGACTTATTTCCTCACTACATGATAGTAGAGGGACTACTTAGATACTTCCACCAATATTTGGCATTTTGCCTATTGGTTAAATATTTAAGATTAGGACGATTCTATCCTTCATCAAGATAAAAGTACAAGATGATGCTTCCATTGTTAAAGCCAAAGTTCATAGATAAAAAATAATAATAAAGGATTAAAGAAAATATAATCCTTATAGCTTTATACTTTGAGTGATTCGGATAATGATTATGGTTTTAATTTTAATTAATTAATAATTTGGATATCAATAATTATATAAAAAAATATAAGGTCGAGTATACAAATGGTCCATTGATTATATGATGATGCTTTATTAAGTCTTTCGTTTATTGAAAGTTATAAAATGATATTCTGACTGTAGAGTATTTCTTTATTAAGTCCCTTGATTATTAAAAGTTATAAAATGGTCATCTAATTATTCATTATGTTTCAGAATTGTCATTTTATGTTAAAAAATTGACGACAATTTGAGCTGAACGTTAACCCGTTGACTATAATATGATAAAACTAGATCCAAAAATCTCAAATGACTACCATATATCAATTATTATCTTAACCTTCAGCTTAGACTACGATCAATTTTTTAATGGAGAAGAACGAGTTTGGAACGTAATGAATAGTCGAATGACCATTTCATAACTTTTAATAGTTGAGGGACTCAATAAAATCACACTCTATAGTAGAAGGATGATTGGGCTTGCACTTCTTATCACCTTGAATGTTGTTACAAAATAAGTCCATCAAGGGGGAAACAAACCGAGTTTGCACTATGATCCAAAATTAAAATTCCATTAATTTCCAGAATTTGAACGGCCCAAATTTAATCCCATTGAGTCCAACTACTCCGATCCAGACACCTGATAGGTACGAACTCGGATCAAGTTACCCAGTCAAAACTCACCAACTCATCCTCTCTTTTATACCCCCCACTCACCCACCAATACGCCCTCTCTTTTCGAAACAAGCAATTTGATTTTTAATACTAAGATTCAAAATTTCTTTTTTGAAGGAATCGAATCATGTTTTTCTTCGATTGGTTCTATGGGATCCTTGCTTCCCTGGGTTTATGGCAAAAAGAGGCCAAGATCTTGTTCTTAGGGCTGGATAATGCCGGCAAAACCACGCTGCTTCACATGCTCAAAGATGAGGTATTTTTTTCGTAAATGAATGGAGGTAAATTCATATTAATTTGCTGTTTGAAGGATTAGATTTGTGTTAATATTGTTGGATTTTCTATTAAGTTCTATTACTTGTGTTCTAAATTGATTCAGAATGCTACAACACCTTTTCTCTCTTTCACTATTGATGGGATTTGGTAGAGATTAATCCTTTTAGCTGGAAGGGTTTTTAATTGCTATATACCGTAAAAAATAAACAATGTTATTGGAATTGTTGATTGCCTTTTTAAGTAATGAAGTGATTGAAATCTGGTCTTTTTTGGATGTGGGTAATGGTTTTTGGCAGAGACTAGTTCAGCATCAGCCAACACAGCATCCCACATCGGAGGAATTGAGTATTGGGAAAATCAAGTTCAAGGCTTTTGATCTTGGAGGCCATCAGATTGCTCGAAGAGTTTGGAAAGATTACTATGCCAAGGTAACATTTCGTCTATGTTGTTTCAATTCTTCATCGAAGACTCGGAGTACCCATCTCTGATGCTCGTATGAATGTCCGACACCCGAATATAAGCACATAACCCCTAAATATCCTATAAATATATGGAATGACCATACCTGTGTTCGGTGCTAGTCTGTCCAACACTCACACTTTAGGCTTAATAACATAGCATTTCTTTTACCTGAAAATCCATGTGATTATGTTCAGTTTTCGGGCAAAATCTATGCCATCTTTCGATGTTTAACATGTTTTTTATAAGTTTTATTCAGGCTGTGGATGATAGATTCCGTTATTATAACTGGTGTTTTTTATGAATTGAAGATTAGGAGATAAGTCCTAAAAGCCTTATCTGTTGTTCATCAAATTCGTCTAGTAGGTCACTTTTATTTTGATATTCCACTTGAGAATATGAATGATTGCAAGAGCTTCTTGTTAGTCTTTTTCCTAATGTGCATCTATAATCCCAGATAATGATTCTTGTGGTTATCTGATTCATGAGGGGCAAAGAATAAGAATGGGGAGTTCGCTGATAGCGCTTTTAATTTTGCAATAGGTGCTTTAATAGTACCTCACCACACAATTTATAGTTGCACTCTCTGTGAAGATTACGTTGTTGGACGAAATCAATAATTATCTTCTATTTCGGAAAACAAAAATGGAGGTCTCTTTTTATTTTAGTCTTCAGTTATATATATTCACTCTGATTATTTTTCCCTTGGCTTGTTTTACGTCTGGTCTGGAGGGTCTAGTGCCCTAAGAAGCCCCTGCAAGTTTTCAGAGGCTCAGCTTTCACCATTGTCATGTTATGAAGGAGATATTGATCACCAAAACGTTTAGTATTTTCTTTCTAATGAAGAGCATAATGAAAGTGATATGAATTCTTTTTGTAGGTTGATGCGGTTGTGTACCTGGTGGATGCTTACGACAAGGAAAGGTTTGCCGAGTCGAAAAGGGAGTTGGATGCTCTTCTCTCCGATGAATCTTTAGCCAATGTTCCGTTCCTCATCTTGGGCAACAAGATCGATATACCATATGCTGCCTCGGAGGATGAGCTGCGGTATCACCTTGGCCTGACCAATTTCACTACAGGAAAGGGTAAGGTCAATTTGGGAGACTCGAATGTTCGTCCCCTTGAGGTATTCATGTGTAGCATTGTTCGTAAAATGGGTTATGGAGATGGTTTCAAGTGGGTTTCTCAGTACATCAAATAGGTAGCCGCACGGGGATTTTAGGCATGCTTTCGTTCTTAATGTTATTTCTATACTAAATTGAATTGGATTGAACACTTTCAGAAATCTTTGTCACAGGTGTTCCAAACCCCCTGGTACCCTACTTACTCCTCTTTTCTAGTCCCTCTTGTTTTCTTTCCTTCCATTTTTGTTCGAATCGGTAAACTTCATTCTGTACGAGACGATGAGGCATAGAGATGTAATTTATGATTTATTCTGATTGATGATTTGAGACCAAATGTTAATTTACAGTCTTGATTTTGTTAACTTAAAATTTCCCATTGTTGCCTTGTCATACTACCGATATATGGCAGTGATTTTAGTGTACATAGATGGGCTAGCATGTGTCTGCTTATTCTTAATGGCTGTAAAGTTTACTTATTTATGCTTAGATTTGAGACTGAAACAATAATGTTTCAAATAGCAATCATCAATATTTTCCCTAAAAAAAAACAGTATTTCATCATTTAGATGATTATAGGAAATTTCAGGCTCTTTATATAAAAAAAATTAGGGACGAAATCATAATTTTATGATTTTTCATAATATTTTAAAATTTAAATACACTGACTTTTCAACTATGGGTCTATTTGTTTTATGGAAAACATATTTCAAAAAATGAATTACTTTTTCATGAAAAATATTTTCTGGAAATCATGTTACGATATTTGGATGATATGTAATTCATTTTTCATTGGTTGATAATTTTTTAAATATTCTTTATTATAAACATCAAATATAATGTCATTTATTAAAAAATAATATTATTTTTAAAAATAGTGTGAAGTATACATATGATCCTCTAACTATTTTAATAAGTCCATTGATTATTAAAAATTCTAAAATAATCCTCTAGCTATAGGGAGTTGAGTCATTTGATTGTTAAAAACTACAAAATAGTCATCTGACTATTCATTATGTTCTAAACTCGTCGTTTTCCGTTAAAAGTTTGACGACAATATGAGTTGTATGTTAACTTACTAATTGAATATGATAAAATATGATCTTATAATTTTAAAAAACTTTTATATCTCAGTTAACAAGTTAAAGTCGATATCACGCGGAGAATCTCCTCCTCCCAACAATGCACGAAAAATCAAAAAGATTTTGAAATCCAACAAAATCGGAAAGCAATATGATGTTGTTCTGTTCGTTACGGTTAACTAAATATAAAGTAATCATTATGACCAAATATAATTGGGTACGGTAGGCAAAATATAATTGGGTACGGTAGGCAAAGCAATCGATATAATTGATAACCGTGGTTTTTCTATTAAAATAATTTTTAACTTCTAAATAAATAAAAATGAAAATATAGTATAGAGAAGCAGGATCGATCCACATGAATTGTGGTATTTATGATTTAATAAATTTTTTTTTTGATTTTAAAAAAAGATAAAATTCCAGATGAAGTTGAAAAGATATATTAAAATAAAATAAAAAAAAAAATACAATAATAAATATAAAAGGAGGATTTTTTTAAAGTTATGATTAAATTAAAAAATAATTAAATAAACAAATTAAAGAGATTAAGATAAAGAGAAACTTATTGTGAAAGCAGCCTTAGACTTCAGCTTCGCCTCAAATTCATCGGATCATCGAAACAAATTTTTTACTTCAAGATTCACGTAAGTTTACAAGAACAATTCTTCGCTGCCAACTCGGATTGTGTCGTTTCAACAACAACTGATTCCGATCTCTGTTTCCTCTTAGCAAACAATTTTGCTAAGTGTGTTCTCGGGAAGTTGAATATGCTTCAATAAGCAAATCCTTCTTCAAACATTAACCATAACAATATCCGGACCAATGTCGAAATAGTTTTGATTTGAAAAGTAAGCTTCAGAAAATAGAGAGAAAATCCGAAGCGATTTAAGTACCTTACAATTCTCACGTTTGGAATTGAGCATTCGCTTTAGTCTTCGGCTTGAAAGAAAATTAGCTAAGCATAACCAAAGTCATGCTTAGCATAATAGAAAAGTATGCGAAACATAGAGAGAAACCTAGAGAGAAAAAGAAGATTTTATACTCAAATGATAGAGATATGTTTCTAGGCTCACCCTTAGAGGGTATTTATAGCCTTCAAAATCCTAAAAACAAGCTAAAACATCTTAAATCCTAATTAAAACACTTAAAACTATTTAAACTAAAATACCTAAAAAAAATAATATAATATTCTAAATCCTAATTAAAATACTAAAACCTATTTAAACTAAAATACAAAGATAAAGATAAAATATAAAAATAATATCCTAAAACTTAATTAAAATACTAAAAACCTATTTAAACTAAAATACAAAGATAAAATATAATATTTAAAATATTATTTTAAATTTGAGTTTAATCCAAATCCGAATTCCAGCCAGTTTTGATTCCGAAAATAAAAAATCTGCAGAATTGTGTCCTTTTTGTGCAATTTTCATAATCTTACGTCATGTACAGAAAATGAATTAAAATGAACAAATAAACCACAAAAATAAATGATTAAAGAGTAATTTAAAAGTAAAATATTAACTAAATTAAACACTTATCAATAACCGATCATAATTAATAGCGAAACATGATTATCGTAATCTCAAAAGGAATAGAGATTAAACGACATGAAAAGACGAACATAAGATTTTACGTCAGAAGATGTATACTTAAAAAATTATATTTAAAATTTACAAGTTGACAATTCTAGAAACTTTTTAAGTTTAGCTACTTTGTTCTCAAAGTTCCAATTAAACGAAATCGTACATTTTTACTACCGTTGCCTAAAACTTAAATCATGAATCCAATTATCGATCTCGCGATTTAAGTCATCAGTAATAACTGACGAAGAGAATGAACTATTATCGAGCAACCAATTCATAACTTGAGGAAACATTTGCTCCCCAGCGACAGCATGGTTCGACGAAGCGTTGTTCATCAACGCACTATTATCAACCACGTTTGGACTTGCAATATTGTCATTGGTCATGCTGTTTGAAACTGCAGCTGGTGAATTGTTCTATGGCAAGCTTTGGTGATGACCATTTGACGGTAGCTGCACAGGGACTAGTCCTCCAAGTTGATCTTGTTGCGATGACATATTCTTGTTTTGAAAATGCATACTCGAAGCACCACTAGATGGAATCATACTTCCTCTTATTTGGTTCGGAATTGGATTATCTCCAACATTCATACCTGGTATGGGTGAATTGAGTTGTGCTGCAGGCTGGTTGGTTTGATAATATGTTGGGACATTTGGAAATGAAAGTTGCTGCTGCTGTTGTTGTTGAGGAGTGATGTGCAATTGTCCACCGAAACCCAAAGACAAACCCCCTAATGAACGTCTAGGAATGTATGGAGAGTCGAGAGATGGGAAGCCTTGTTGACTCAACATACGCAACCGATGGTCGAAACCCAAGAGCTTCTCAAGGGGCCTGTCGAGCACCCTCCGAGGAAATTCAAGATAGCGCCTACTACACATTTATATATATATTTCATGTATTTTTCGTGTATGATTAAGTAAATGACTGCAAATGGAAACATGAACACAAAATTACCTGTAAGTTGGAGCTTGTCCTCCGGTGAAGTCCGAAACCATTCTCCATTGTGTGTGCTTCCTTGGTTGTGGGCCGATCTCATGGTAAAATGCAGGAGGCTCGGTTAACTGCACATGAAATCTTCCATTGAAATATGATTATTACCAAAAAGTTCAAGAACTCCAGGTTGATCTTCATGGGTGACAGCCTTCAACGACAAAATATCAGACAATTGGATTTCGATCTTGCTTTTCAACCCATTCTCTAAAAATTCACACATTAACTTCTTTTTTGAAAAATAGCATTTGCCTACCAAGTCACCATCATTCCTCGATACCCTCTGCAACAAAGATTTGATTTTTTTTTCTAAAAAGATTCATATAGTAAAAGAAGTATAATTATCAGTTGAGCCTCACCTGCCATGAGCCAATTCCAAGTAAAGAAATGAGGAAATTCTCAGCTTTCAGCTTATTTGCATGCTGCAAAACATTCTCCTTTGGTTCAGTACTAGAGCTCTTCTTGACTTGTTCTTCGCCATTAAAGCTATTTCCTTTTTGCAAGAAAAACTGATCTACCTCTTCTAAGAAAAAGGGTGTTTGTGAAAGTTTTAAGCCAAGAACTGGTGATTTCCTCGTAGCTTCAACCAAGTTAACCTACAAGTTTTAAGCCAGATCAAAATGTAAAAGATGAAAAAGGAAAAGAAAGGAAAATCTGTGGAGATTTGTACCCAGCTTACATCAAAGTTTTGTGAAGAAGTATTCACCATAGCTTCAGCTTCCTTCGGTCCCTCATCAGAAGCCAACTCCCCATTCTCCATAATCCTCAAACAACTCCTAGAAAAGAAAACAAAAGAGAAATCTTTGACAGGAACCCAGACCTTTTTATCAAGGAAAATCTGAGAGAAAAAGGAGGTGGAGCAATGTGTACGAGTTTGACTCTATTTGAGATACATAGGGTTTGAAGTTAAAGCAAATAGAAGAGCATCAAAATAAGGTTTGACATCTGTCATTTAAAACCCTGAAACCGAAACCGTACCACAGCAAAAGAGAGAGACTGGTGTTGGGAGAAGATTAGTTTGGTACTAATTTAAAGTAATCTAATAATTTTTTTTAACACCTTAAATTCGAAAGATTATATTTAAATGGTCTCAAATGTCATATTGATTACTGGTATCTGATCTATTGACCGACTAATCCAGATCAGGTACTGCAGAGGCGAAGGCGACCCTCCCAACCCAATTTACTTCATTCACAAAACGTCAGGATTCGAACCACTGACCTTGCTTAAGACCTAATGCCTCATCCCACTAGACCAACTAATTCATATGTTTCAATATTTTTAAAATATCCATACTAAATATAATAAAAGTATAATAGAACAAAAATGTTTGTACAAAAATCAGGAAACAATTACTCTGAATAAGACACAATATAAATCAAAATAATAATAAAATTTACCGATTGAAATATTAACAAATTCTTATAGATACATAAGTTCATTAAATATATCAAATAATATACTTTGAATGGGAGGCATTAGAAATCCTTTAACGATGATGCTCCTCCGAACTAACTAATAATCATCACAACATTAATTT